CCCCTACTGGGGATCGAGCCCGCAACCTGGGCATGTGCCCATGACTGGAAACGAACCTGGGATCCTTCAGTCCACAGAACAATGCTCTGTCCACTGAGCCAAACTGGCTAGGGCCCATACTTTCTTTAATAAGTTTCTATTTATTGGACATTTTAAATTTTTCTAATTTGTTATTGTTGTTTTTGTTGCTATTACAAGCTTGCTCCTTTGAACATCCCTATAGCTAAATTTTTGCAGATATGTTCCTCCAAATAAAATAGCCAAATAAAAGGCAAAACTGGCTAGGGCCCATACTTTCTTTAATAAGTTTCTATTTATTGGACATTTTAAATTTTTCTAATTTGTTATTGTTGTTTTTGTTGCTATTACAAGCTTGCTCCTTTGAACATCCCTATAGCTAAATTTTTGCAGATATGTTCCTCCAAATAAAATAGCCAAATAAAAGGCAAAACCTTTTAAGACATTTGACACATATTATTAAATCTCTTCAAAAAAAAAGTTTGTACGAATTTATGCTTTTATGATCATGCCTGTTTCACTGTATTCTTACCTATTCTGGATATTATTATTATCATCATTATCATCACCAATTTGGTAGGTGAGGCAATCTTTCATTTGTATTGTTCCTTTACAAATCATTCTTCAAAAGCAAAATAAATACTAGTAAAAGAGATAAAATCTAGAATTATTTTTTTCTTCTTTTGTTTTGTACTCAAAAAATATATTACCCTCTTCTGTTTTGTTTTAATTTTTAAAATCTGGAATTGAGTTATAATTTATAAGACACTGTCCCATTTTAAAGTTATTAAATTCCAATGAACATACTGAATTTGTTTTAAACTGAAAAGAAGATACTCAATAAGGCTTCATCAATTTATTATCCTATATAATAAAGTGGTAACATGCAAATTGACCATCACGCCCTCACAAGATGGCTGCCTATGACCAGGACGGCAGGGGGCTTAGTGAGGGATGACTAAACGACTGAACAGCAGGCTGCGTGGGGTGACCAGTCTGGCAGGGTGGTTACTAAGGGATGAACAAACAACTGAACAGCAGGCTGCATGAGCCAACCAGGCCAGCGGGGGGGGTGGGGAGCCGTGAGGGGTGACCAAGCTGGCAGGGGGGTGCAGTTGGGGTGACCAGGCTGGCAGGGGGGGAAGTTGGAGGTGATTAGGCTGGCAGGGGGGGCAGTGAGGGGCGACTAGGCTGGTGGGGAGCGGGCAGTTAGGAGCGACCAGGCTGGCAGAGAGAGGGCAGTTGGGGGCAATCAGGCCGACACACAGAGGCAGTGAAGGGCGATCAGGCCGGTGGAGGGAGGGGGCAGTTAGGGGCGACCAGGCAGGCAGGCAGGTGAGCAATTAGGAGCCAGCAGTCCAGGATTGTGAGAGGGTTGTCCCTGGAGGGGTCCCAGATTGGAGAGGGTGCAGGCTGGGCTGAGGGGGGCTCTCCATGCACGAATTTCGTGCACCAGGCCTCTAATTTCATATAATTTTCAAATGTCAGGAAACATTCTTCTTCTTTTGATTTTTTTAAATATTAAAAAATGTAAAAAGAGGGTGCATTTGGGGGCGACCTGGCCAGCAGTGAGGGGCAGATAGGGGTGACCAGGCTGGCAGGGGTGGGCAGTTAGGGGCCATTAGGCCAGCACACAGAGGCAGTGAGGGGCGATCAGGCCGGCGGGATGGGGTGGGCGGCAGTTAGGCAGGCAGGTGAGCTCGGGGGGGGGGGGCAGCAGTTAGGCAGGCAGGCAGGTGAGCTATTAGGAGCCAGTGATCCAGAATTGTGAGAGGGATGTCCAACTGCTAGTTTAGGTTGAGCCAGTGGTCCAGAATTGTGAGAGGGATGTCCAACTAACTGCTAGTTTAGGTCCAATCCCCGGGATTGGGCCTAAACCAGCAGTCAGACATCCCCCGAGGGGGTCCCAGATTGGAGAGGGTGCAGGCTGGGCTGAGGAGACGCCCCCTACTCCCAGATTGGAGAGGGTGCAGGCTGGGCTGAGGAGACGTGCCCACCCCCCACCCCCCGGACAAATTTCATGCACCGGGCCTCTAGTTATAAATAATATCTTTGTCAAAATTAGGCAATAGGCAGGATATCATACTAAACAGCATGAGCTTCTGATAATTAAAGGCACACATAAAGCATAAAAGGCACACATATATACAGATCATTTTCCTAAATCATAGAATTAATGCAAAACTTTGTCTCATTAGAGAATCATATAAATGGCAGTCTGTACCTTTACAATATGCCACTATTACGTGTCATCCCACTAAAAACCTGTGCTGTCATACAGGCAGTCAGTGCCTGGCTATTTTAAAAACACTTTATCAGCGACATGCTTTATCAGTGACAAGAGAATTTGAACTACTGGTCATTAAACGGTCAAATGGTGGTATGGTGTTTGTTGTTGTTTTCTGAAAAGAGCAAGAAGGGTATGTTTTGGGGGCTGAAAAAGACTACTAATATTTAGAGGAACAATTCCACAATTGAATTAATGTTCTTTCCCAAAACATAAATTTTTATTTAATTTTGTTTTTATATTACTCTTCATGCAGACACATTTTAACTTGTTCATACCCTGTTGCCTTAGTTGATCTATATTAGATTCTGTTTCCCATGGCAGGCCATTCTCATTTTTTTCTGCTCTATTTCTATTCTTGTTTAAAATGTGCCCTATTGGTTCGTTGATTATTAACAAACCCATAATGTTAAACTTTTACTTAAATGGTATCTGTCATGTTTCACACTTGGTTAATTGGGTAGAATTCTCACACCAAGCAATCAAATGATCTGTACAGCTGAATGCAAAGGAAAAAAAACATAAAAATAAAACTTCAGGAACCTCCATGAGTTCATACCCACACACCACCTGCCTTTGGCCTCAAAATTAGCCCTGCTTTTTTCCCACCTTTTGTCCATTTGGATGTAATCTTTCAATCTATTCTGATCCTACTCTGACCTGGAGTCTATCTTGATTTAAGATATCTCCTCAATCAGTTCTTCCCTCTGGGCAGAAACCCTGGATATACAGTAGGTCAAGGTAAAGGGTACATTGAGAAGCAGTAACTGTGGTGTGTGGACTCCACTTTCTCCCTCTCCCAAGTCCTCCCAGCTCCTGAGATAGGATTTTCTTACTTGAGACAGCAGTAAGGGGCAGAAACTATGATACATATACTATCCCTAATAGTCAGTATTTTGAACAAAAGAATAGTGTCACAGGGTTCCAAGAACATACTTACAGATGGATATGAATATTTTGTAATCACAAATGTATATTTTGACAATCACAGTATTTTATATATTTTGTTTTTTTAATTATGACTTGTTTTAGGACAGATTCAGTCTCACTCTCTAAAACAGTGAGATTCTGTACAATCCCTTCACACATTAGCAATATTAAACCACATCCTTAATGAGCTTGAAACTCTATATTACTTCAACAATTAAGACTGCTATGTGCTTTTAAGAGTCTGAGTCATTCTGGAGTCCAAAATTGGAAAATCTTGTGAAACAGTATAATACTAGGCTTTTCATTTGACATCACTGGTAGAAAACAGAGCTGAGGAAAAGCTTCTGTCCACACTGAGTGTAAGGCACCTTCCCTTCCTGGTCTGTTAAACTCCACTGTCCTTTATTGAAAGTTTCTGCATCTGTTTCAGGTCACCTACTTCTAATCAGGTGGCTTTACATGTAATTGATTTTTATTATAACATTATTTCTTTTGAAGGAAAGAGCTAGAATAATTAAAACTCTTAATTTTACTTATTATGTGATTTGCAGAATTTCTTTGGCCCTGAGTTTGTGAAAATGACGATAGAACCTTTTGTATCTTTGGATTTGCCACGATCTATCCTTGTAAGTAATAAAACCAATTTGTATCACTCTTAGAAAATAATTTCAGTAATGATTTGAAGGGAAAAAAAACAGTTGAAATTCTTACAAAGTTTACTTTAATAGATGCCATTCTTTTTCCTTTTTTTTTTCCCAATTGTAGACAAAGAAAGGGAAGAATGAGGATAACCGAAGAAAAGTAAATGTAATGCTTCTGAGTGGGCAGAGGTTGGAACTGACTTGTGATACCAAAACCATATGTAAAGATGTGTTTGATATGGTTGTGGCCCATATTGGCTTGGTGGAACATCATTTGTTTGCTTTAGCTGTCCTCAAAGGTACCAAAATTTTTAAATTCAAGTTGCAATATGAAAACTTGGCAACAATTTGACTGACCTGTTATGCCCAACCTTGCTTTGAGAATAGTAATTACATAAACATTCAGCAGGGAGGAGTAGGATTCTAGGAACTCCCTTCCTTCTTCTAACTAGGTGCATTGTTTTTGTTTTTTGTTTTCTTCCTTTTAATCCTCACCCAAGGATATTTTTCCATTGATTTTTAGAGAGAGTAGAAGAGAGAGGGAAAGACAGAGAGAAACACATGGATTGGTTGCCTCCTGCACGAGCCAACAACCAGGGCCCAGGCTGGCGACGAGCCTGCAACCAAGGTTTGTGCCCATGGCTGGACTCGAACCCAGAACCCTTCAGTCATAGGCCGATACTCTATCTACTGAGCAAAACCAGCTAGGACAAGATGCATTGTTTTAGTGGCTGTGTCTTTTTTGTATCTTCTGCACTTGATCATGAAGATTTTTCTTTGGCTTTTGGCTATATAAAAATGGATTTTAATTGTTATATTTTGAGGACCATTATATATGTCAATTGCCTGCATATGTATTCTAGAACTTAGTATCCTGCTAATAGGACTATATAGCAGGACCCTATTTCGGAATCTTCACTTCAGCTTCTTTAGCCTACTATCCTAAAATATACAGTGTCTTTATAAGTGTTGCTGGTGGATGACTGAAAATATGACTTCACATATTTTCTCCTCATCTGAGCCACTTTCACATCTATAGTGGCCTCAGAGCACAGCTTCATTGGAAGTCGCTCCTGGTTGTCAATTAGAATTTCCATAGCAATAAGAAGCCCTTTGCAGTTGGGCTTAATAAGTCTCTTTAAATTGTTATGTTTATAAATTGCTCTTTAATATTTTAGATTCCTGTTTACTTCAGAATTTATCTTAGAAAGCTTAGACAACAAAGTACCATAAATTATAATTGAAGGATCAAACCATCCTGAAACCCTGCCAGATCAGGATAAGAGAAATATTTCTTTTAATTCAGTTTATTGAATTCTTGTCTTAAAAACTAATAGTCCATTTTGTAGTCATCCAGTAAATATTCAGTTAGTGCCAATTGGTTTTCTGTCACTTTACTAATTACAATTAGTGCTAAACAGATAATACTAATTAAAGATATTCAATTAATTAAAATTTATATAATATACCTAAATTTCTTAAACATTCTGGATAAGTCAAATTTTAGTGAATAATCTATTATTTGGAGAGGCTCAATAATACTTAAGTGATGATTTAAAAAAAATAACTCTGGCCAGTTTTGCTCAGTGGTTAGAGTATCACCCCTCTTACTGAAGGGTCATGGGTTCCATTCCCAGTCCAGGGCATGAACCTTAGTTGCAGGTTCGCTCCCTGCCCCCAGTTGGGGGCTAGAGTCAACTAGTCGATGTGTCTCTCTCACATTGATGTTTTTCTTTCCCCTTCTCTTCCTTCCCTTTCACGCTCTCTAAAAACTCAATGGAAAAGAATATCCTTGGGTGAGGATTAAAACAAATAATAATAATAAAATAAATTTTTTAAATGATGACTGCTCTTCCTAGATTTCAGCTGGTAGCTCAATTCCTGTATAAATAATAAAAGCCTAATATGAAAATTGTCCCCTTGACTGTGAGTTCGACCAGGGTGCGGAGCCGACCAGCCAACTGCCCACAGCCCCTTCCCCCAGCTGCCTCCCCCCCCATCGGCTCTCCCCACCCCGATCAGGGGCAGGGCCAGCCAGCCAACCTCCTGTGTCTCCTTACCCTGGCAGTGCATGAATTCGTGCACCAGGCCTCTAGTAATAAATAATAACTAATGTTTATTGAATGCTTACCATGTGTCTCACACTTTACCAAGTATTTGATATCCATTATGTGATGTGATCCCTACAACAGCCTTATAAAGTAGGAATTGCAGGAAATGGCACTATCCTCATTTTACAGACAAGAAAATTGATGTCTAGAGAGGTTAAATTTATTCATTATTACATAGATAGTAAATGATGTGGCCAGAAGTTGAATCCAGGTCTATCTGTCTTCAGACCCCTCATTCTTTTTTTTTTTTTGTGGTTGTTAATCCTCACCCGAGGATATCTTTTCCATTGATTTTTAGAGAGAATGGAAAGGAGGGAGTGGGAAGAGAGAGAGAAACATTGATGGGAGAGAGAGAAAAACATCGATGTGAGAGGGACACATGAATTGGTTGCCTCCTGCACCCAACTGGGGCCAGGGATTGAACCTGCAACTAAGGTACATGCCCTTGACCAGAATTGAACCTGAGATCCTTTGATGCATAGGCCAACACTCTAACCACTGAATCACACCCATTAGGGCAAGACCCCTCATTCTTTTTTTAACTATATTAATTACAGGGAGGAAGGGAGAGGCAGAGAGAGAGATAGAAACATCAATGATGAGAGAGAATTATTGATCGGCTGCCTCCTGACATCCCCCACTGGGGATTGAGGCCACAACCCAGGCATGTGCCCTTAACCAGAATCAAACCCGGGACCCTTCAGTCCACAGGCTGACGCTCTAGCCACTGAGCAAAGCCGGCCAGGGCAAGACCCCTCATTCTTAAAAGACTAAGCCATATTGCCTCAGAGCACCCTGTCATAATTCTTCATAATTTTATTTTATTCAATATTTCTTTTATCTGAATGTTTTCTTATTTTGTTTTAGATAATGAATATTTCTTCATGGATCCTGATTTAAAATTAACCAAAGTGGCCCCAGAGGGATGGAAAGAAGAACCGAAGAAAAAGAACAAAGCCACTGTTAATTTTACTTTGTTTTTCCGAATTAAATTTTTCATGGATGATGTTAGTCTAATCCAGTGAGTACGCAAGAGTTTCTATTTTTCTCTTCTTGACCCCTGGGTTTTTGACCTGTTAATTTACTGATACTGAACTATTTGATCTGATCAATGATAATGTTTCCTTTATCATAAAAGAAATAATTTCTTCAACATTGTTTATTCAATAATTGTGGCTTAAAAGCTTTATTATAAACTGTCTTGGAAACTATACTTATCTGCCAATAATACAAATTACCTCAAGATTGAGGATAAAGCCCAGATGTCTTGTGTTTGTATTTATTTTCCAGACATTCTCTGACCTGTCACCAGTATTATCTTCAGTTGCGAAAAGATATCTTGGAGGAGAGAATGCACTGTGATGATGAGACCTCTTTACTGTTGGCCTCCTTGGCTCTCCAGGCTGAGTATGGAGATTATCAGCCAGAGGTGGGAAATTTTTTTTCTCCAGGACCACTTTTGCATTAGTTTTCTTATTCTCAGCATAAATAAAGACTAAACCTAGTTGAGGTGTTTGCTGTTTAGATCTAGAGATTTTTGAGGCTAGTTTGGTACTTCAAAATGACCAAGTTCCCCATGTACTTTGGTTATATACAATCATACACTGTGGGGCTTCCTTCCTTCCTTCCTTCCTTCGGTCTATCTTTTTTTTAAATTAGCCTATTTCAGAGTTTCGGGCTATCTAACATTTACCCTTTTCCCAATTTCTACCTGGTAGATACTAGACACAGAGTTACCAGTCAAATCTGGATCAAAGGGATCTTCTACTTTCCACATGGATCCATGCAGTAATGGGCTGAGAGCCCAGCAGAGTTCACTGTATGGAGAATAGATGTTAAAGCCCAAATATTCTAGAATTTAAGTGGATTTAAGAGGGAGCAAGAGACTAAACCACTCAAGCAGCATCCTACAGAACATTAACCCTATAGTGACATTTGGCTCGCCTCAAGTTTTCCAATCAGTTCAGTCATACTACCTCACTGAATAAAAGAGAGAGAGAGACGGATGCATTTCCTTTAAAACTCACTTCTCAGAGAGAAGTATAAATAGAGGCATCTTATCTCTTGGTTGAGGCAAGAACTTTTGAGTAGGAGGAAAAGGGCAAACAGAATTGCTTACAAAAACATTCTCCTTTCTAGGTTCATGGTGTGTCTTATTTTAGACTGGAGCATTATTTGCCTCCCAGAGTGATGGAGAAACTTGATTTGTCCTATATTAAAGAAGAGTTGCCCAAATTGCATAATACCTATGCAGGAGCTTCTGAAAAAGAGACGGAGTCAGAATTTTTAAAGGTAAGTACACAAGATTATAGTGATAAGCTTTGTATCTGTTTCAAAGTAAGCAAGATGCCAATAAATGATACTATGAATTATATCATTTTATTTATTCCTGACTAAAATCATGGTATTTTAATTCTTTTGTAAATGAGGGAACTGAGACTCAAAAAGGAAATGTAATGTTCCCAAAGTGAATGGCTATTATGTGGGGTAAAACTGTGATTTGAACCTGTATCTATCTGTCTCTGGATTCCATGTTTCATGCTTTTTATGTCCCATCTATGAAATCTTTGTCTAACCCACAGTGACAAAGAGTTTCTAAGTTTTATAGTTTAGCTCCTATATGTAAATCTGTGGTTCATTTTTGGGTTAATTTTCATATATTGGGTGTAATAAGGATTGAGATTCATTTTCTTGGCGTGTGAATATTCAATTGTTTTAGCAACATTTGTTGAAAAGACTATCCTTTCTGTATTAAACTACATTGGTACAAGTTCTGTATCTTTTTGTCACCTCTTAGCAAGGTGTATGGTATTGTTCCAACAGGTCTGCCAAAGACTGACAGAATATGGAGTTCATTTTCACCGGGTGCACCCTGAGAAAAAGTCACAAACTGGAATATTACTAGGAGTCTGTTCTAAAGGTGTCCTTGTATTTGAGGTTCACAATGGAGTTCGAACATTGGTCCTTCGCTTTCCATGGAGGGAAACCAAGAAGATTTCATTTTCAGTATGTCTAATTTAACCCCATTTGATTATATTTTTAAATAGGCGTTCTCAATTTCAAATGTAACATATTAATTGACTTTACCTAAATTTAAAACCTTGTCATTCAGTAGGACTAATATGCCTTAATATTTTGTATTTCACTCTTCTTTCTTAGCTGTAGGAAGTATTATTGAGGTTTGTTTTTGGTTTTCTCAGGAAGTGATTTAAAAAACAATATTAGACATTCCTAGCTGGTTATATGCTCAATTAACTTTAGTTAAATTGCAACCTAGTTGACTTTTCTGTTAATTCAGAACTTATTCTAGGGCATTAATTTCTCACATGGAGAAACCCCTTTAATGTATTTAAGATAGATAACTATCTTAACCACAGTGAACTTTGTCTTGCCCAATAATAGGCCCCTCACAGCAACTATCTGAATCTCAGTGGTCTAGAGATTTACTTGATTTTATGAACTAATCCCAGAACTTTCTGCAGTTTTAAGTTTTAGTGTATATTCTCTATAGACATAAAGTTAGAAAAGTATATTTAGAAAATCACGTTTATGAAAGATAGTGAGCTATAAAGGCGTATTTTTATTCTGAACATTGAAAAGCAATTGGCAAACCCCAGAGATGAATCAGAAATATATTCAGGTATTTGTTTTTCTAATGATATTCAGGAACTACTGACATCTTTAGTTTATGTTTGAGCAGAAATATAGTCTCACCCAACAATGTTTATAAAAATATCAATAACAAGGCCCCAACTGACTCTGAATAATCTTCAACCTAGAGATTTTTGAGATCAATTATAGACCTAATTGTTAGTTGATTGGTTTCCTCTGAAACCTGGTAAACTAAGATTACCAGGTGATATGTTCAACTGGTAAGCCCAGACCATCCTCATCTTCTCAAGATGGTCAAGACCAGAAACTTACCTGGATTTCTAACGAATTAAACTGTTTCACAAATATTGTACCAACCTTGCATCCCCGGAATAAATCCCACTTGATCATAGTGTATGATCTTTTTAATGTATTGCTAATACATGCAGTTTGCTAATATTTAGTTGCAGATTTTAGCATCTATGTTCATCAGGGATATTGGCCTATAGTTTCCCTTTCTTTGTAGTGTCTTTCTCTGGTTTTGGAATTAGTATAACATTGGCCTCATAAAAAGAGCTTGGAAGTCTTTCCTCCTATTGAATTTTTTTTGGAATAGTTTGAGGATAGGGTGTTAGTTCTTCTTTGGGTGTTTGGTAAAATACACCTGTGAAGCCATCCGGTCCAAGACTTATGTTTGCTGGGAGTTTTTTATTTTATTTTATTACTACTTCGATTTCATTAGTTGTAATCAGTCTATTCAGGTTTTCTAATTCTTCCTGATTTACTTTTGGAATATTGTATGTTTCTAGAAATTTGTCCATTTTGTCCAGGTTGTCCAATTTGTTGGCATATAACTGTTCATAATATTTTCTTACGATCCTCTGTATTTCTGTGGTGTCAGTTGTTACTCCTCTTTCATGTCTGTCTTTGTTTATTTGGGTTCACTCTCTTATTTTTCTTGATGAGTCTGGTTAAAGATTCATCAGTTTAGTTTATCTTTTCAAAAAGCCAGTTCTTGGTTTCATTGATCTTTTGTATGTTTTTTTTTCCAGTCTCTATGTCATTTATTTACACTCTGATCTTTATGATTTCCTTCCTTCTACTTACTCTGGGCTTTGTTTATTGTGTTTTGGTTTTTTTTCTAGTTCTTTTAGGTTGTAGGTTTAGATTGTTTATTTGAGGTAGGCCTATAAAGCTATGAACTTCCCTTTCAGGACTGCTTTCTCTGTGTCTCATAGATTTGGGGTTGTTGTGTGTTCATTTTAATTTGTTTCCAGGTCATTTTTAATTTCTTCCTTGATCTCATTGTTAACCCATTCATTGTTTAATAACATGCTGTTTAGTCTTCATGTGTTTTAACGTTTTTCAGTTTTTTTTATTGTAATTGATTTCTACTTTCATACCATTGTGGTCAGAGAATTGCTTCATGTGATTTCAATCTTCTTGAATTTGTTAAGACTTATTTTGTGTCCTACCACGTGGTCTGTCTTTAGAATGTTCCATGTGTACTTGAGAAGGATGTATATGCCGCTGCTTTGAGATGAAATGGTCTGTAAATATCAATTAAATCCTGCTGATCCAGTGTGTCATTTAAGGTTTCTATTGCCTTGTTGATTTTTTTGTCTGGAAGATCGCTCCATTGATGACAGTGAGGTGTTAAAATCTTCTACTATGATTGTATTGCTGTCGTTCTCTCTCTTAATTTCCACCAAGATTTTCTTTATATATTTAGGTGCTCCTATGTTGGGTGTATATATGTTTACAAAGGTTACAACCGCTCACTGGATTCATCGCTTTAGTATTATGTAGTGACCTCTTTATCTCTTGTTAATGGCCTTTGTTTTGAAGTGCATTTTGTCAATGTATAAGTGTTGCTACTCCAGCTTTTTGTTTGTTTGTTTCCATTTGCATGGAATAATTCCTTTCCATCTCTTCACTTTCAGTCTGTGTATTTGTTTGTTCTGAGGCTGATTTCTTGTAGGCAGCATATACAGTGGAACCTCATTTCCCAAACTTAATTCGTTTGGAAGGCTGTTCAAAAACCAAATCATATTTTCCCATTAGAAATAATTTAAATGAAATTCATCCATTCCAGACCCCCAAATGATTCCCTGTTTTAACCTTTCTTATATACAGTACATGTCTACTATTTAATCTGTAAATAAACACTTTAAAAACAAAAAGGACATGAAATGTAAATGAAAATTTAACAAAAAGGAAATGAAATGTACAGTAAAAAAATCAAAATATAATAAT